TTATTTTTTGGGAAGAAATTTTGGGGAGATTTAATTTAGTTAATAAAAAAATACAGAGCCCTGGTTTAGATATTTGTGAAGGCAACAAGTTAATTGTGTCATTAAAAGACTTCGTGAACAACCTAAGGCACCAATCAGATCAGAAGCTAAAGGAATACGAAGAGAATGCTAAAAAATTAAGTACTAGTGTGGGAATAGACTACAATGTCATAAACAAGAGACGCATTACTCCAAAATTTTCAGATAAGTCTACAGATAAAATCTCAGTATACGGCGCAGAAAAATTTTAAAAAGAAAAGCGTTGCGTTAGATAAGCTGATCATGGATTTAATTAAAAGGAGCCAAGTCTTGAGATGTATGGCAAGAAATTCAAATTTTTAATGGATTTGCAAGACAAAAATATGGAAAACATAGATCTAAGTGTACGTAATATTGTTGATTATTATCCAGATGACGTAGACGAGCATTTAGTGAATGAGTGCATTCAGTTAAAATCTTATTTACTTCAGTCTTAGCCAGAGTCTTACACCTCTTGCAGTGAAATTTTTATGCTAATTTATAAAAAGAAACTTGTTGATGTTTTCCCAAATTGCTGTACTATCTTAAAGATTTTTTTAACTTTGCCAATCACTAGCTGTGAAGCGGAGTGTTCTTTCTCCAGGATGTCATATATAGAAAACAAATATAGGACAACAATGTCGAACCATCGACTAAATCATTTATAAGTTCTTTCCATAAATTGTGATTTAACGAAGGACTTACAATGTGATGAGCAAATAAAGGAATTTGCAGCACAAAAATGCAGAAAGTTTGCTTTATAATTTATATAACATAACTACACATAACCTGTCAATTTCTGCTTATATACACAAATAAAAATAAATAAATAAAAAATAAATAAAATTATTTTTTTGTCCTATTTTTTTTTATATACTTATCTACATCACTATAGAAAACAGTTTTTTGACAAAATGGCTATTAGGGCCCCAAAGTAGTTTCAGCCCAAGGCCCCACAAATTCACGATCCGCCCATGGATAGTAATATTTGGACGTGGGAAGTAGAGGCACAAGCGTAAGCAAATAGAATTCCTTTTAGTTCACATATGTTAAGGGAATAATTTTAACTTCAGTAGAGAAAGTGTTTTTTGCCAAGAAAAGACAATTATTGCGAAGCAATCATCGGAGTTAGTGAACGGTAGTGAACAGGGGGCTTAGCCCCCTAGTTATTATATACTAATATACATTTTTAATGCGACTGAAATGAGTTAAAAATAAATGACCCTAATACTAATTTTTTTCTAATTTAAAGATGTTAAATTATTTGATTTGTTACGAACTTGTGTAATCTGGCGTCTACCTCGTGTTTAATATTTTCATAAAAATAAATGAGGGCAAAAAAATAATAGCGTAATATCCTTACTTTCGTTTTTAAATAATTGTGTTTTTGTTCCAATATTACATATTTCTATAACAATGCATTCCAACAAGTTATAAGCATATTCTTATCAATAAATTTGAGATAAAATTCAATTCGATTTGAAGGTTAGTTGCGAATATAAAAAGCAATGATCACTTTTGTTTTTTGTTTGATAACTTGATTTAATCTATTGCTAATTAAAAACACGTGACGGGAAAAAAAAGGTAATAAAAGTGAAGACGCCGCACTCTTAGTTTTGATTTTTAGTTGGGTTATGCGGCATCAGTGGCGTAGCTACCAAGGGGCTAGGCGGGGCAGTGCCCCGGGGCCCTCAAGCTCAGGGGGCCCTCGAATCCTTACCAGAAATCTCGATTGAACTGAAGTTTTGGAAATTTCTCCCATTTTCTAAATAAATATGACAGGTTGCAACCCCACTTTAATCATGACAACTCAGTTGAGAGAAATTCAAAAGTTATGCCTAGGGAATTCCCCTGAATTCTTTCTGTAGGTTGGCAGTGTTGTCAATTTGACGGATAGTGAGTGCTATGTGCGTTTTATTATTCATCGATGTGCGCTTTATTGTGAATTCGAGTTAAGATTTTTTTTTCGAGAACGGTTAAAGAATTAATGCTGTATCAGGAGTAAGTAAGCAAATGCCAATAAAAATTTTTGTATTGGTCAATATAGTGGTTCAATTTTATTTGATTTTACCACTAATACTGATGTCCGTTAAGTCAATAAATCGTGTCAAATCTATAGATTTCGGCTACAGCTCATTGTATAACGCGAAATATCGTGAAAAAATGCAAGTCACCTGCAGTAGGTACATTAATTCAGGTCCGCGGGCAGGAGATCGTTCATGGTCTCTGTAATGCCTTTCCTATCCAATAAATAAGCAGACCAGATTTTTAAAACAATAAAACTTAACTTTATTTAAAAAGAAAAGAAATAGGCATTGTTTTCCAGTAAGAACTTCCAGCTCTTAGAATACCCTATTATATGGAACATACATCTACCTTTCTCTCTCTCGCATCCTTCCGACGGGGTGACAAAATGCTCCAAGTACGCCTTAAACGGTCGCCAAACAGTTGCCAACCATTACAGATTCCACCGTTAAATGTGATAACACTAATTGTGATAATTTTTTTCCCGAGGATTCCCCAACGACACTTGTAGCGTATCATTATGTTTCTCTTTCTTTTTATTTTACTTTTAACATCGTCAGTGAACAGTGAGTACCTACCTACTCGAGCACAATCTAATATTGTATTGTTTAAATAAATTAGGTCCCGCAGTGGACTGATCGTTAAGACACGGTTCCCAGCAGATCACCGAAGTCAAGCATCACTGGCTGCGGTCAGTGTGCGGGTGGGTAACCACTTGGATCAGTCTGCGTAGGGACCGAGGGTGTGCGGTATTGGTCCTCGTTAAACTGTGCTACCGTAAAGTGCTCGACTTCGCGCGCAGGTCGTCTGGCTACCGAAGCGGGGGTGCCATCCTCTCCGCAGAGGATCAAAATTGTGATGGCATGTCTTCGGATCATCCTGCGGGATGTTTCCCAGACCGTCGCCAATAGCCCATTGTGCAGCTCTAGTGCGACGTAAATTAACAACAACAACAACAAATAAATTAGAAAACTAAAATTATGGATAAAAAGAAGAAACCCAGTGGTGCATTTAAACGCAAACAACGCCAAGAAAGAGAAGATAGTAAACAAAAATTGCTCAAAATTGACAAGTTTTTTAGTCAGCCTTCTGCAAGTACATCTGGCCAAAATATTTCTTTTGTTAGTGACTAAAATAATGTGGTAACTGCAGTGTTGGTTAAGAAGCCTACTGAAGAAGATTCGACAATTATTGCAGTTGGAGATACCTCCGCCGATGATCATGTGGACGTGAATGATGTTTGCATGACACACATAAGAGCGGAGGGTTTGGAGGAACCACAGACCTCTACATTTTTCGAAAATGTGTACGACAAATCTTCTTATGACTTGGGAAACTTCACGAACAAGATATTAAGTGATAGCGAAAAACGTCTAATTCTTTATATGGGGCCCTTACAGCCTTCAGGACCTTTTCCAACAGACATCAACCAGAACAATAGGTGTTTTTCAAAATCGTACTACGCTTCGTATTCTAAATACGGGCCAGTTAATCGTTTTTGGTTGTGTTATTCCAAAATACTAGACGCTGCCTATTGTCAACCCTGCTGGTTATTTGCTTCACAAAGGAATAATGTTTGGTGTACGGGAATTCAAAATTGGAAGCATTTATCAGAAAGAATTAATCTACACAGTTGTTCGAGTGGCCATTCGGAAGCATGTGCTGTGTATGAGTTTTGGAAGAAAAAAAACGATACTAATACTATCGACAAAGAACTTGAAAATGAAATTCGCAAAGAAGCATCATTTTGGAAAATGGTTCTTCAAAGGTTATTCGATATCATACTTACCCTAGCAAAGAGTTCTTTGGCTTTGAGAGGACATCAAGAAGACTTACGTCAGAAAGGATACCACGGAAATTTTCTGTCCTTTGTAGAGCTTGTCGCTCGATATGATCACATTTTGCGGCAAGTTTGGGATATGCCCAAAGGTAATAATAATTATTTCTAAGTTTTTTTTATCGTTTTATTTTGTTTACAATTATTAACTGTTTAATATCAGGACTTCTTTGAAATTGTATTTTTTTATGTTTTTAGGATCTGCAAGATATCTGAGTGCAACAATTCAAAATGAAATGATTGAGAGCTTGGGGACCAAACTCGAAACCCATCTGCTACAACAAATTAGAGCGTCACCGTTTCTTGCCATCATAATGGATACGACACAGGACATATCGAAGGTAGATCAGCTAAGCATTGTTGTGAGGTATGCAGTAATAACCAGATTGGAAAATGGACAGTCAATTGATATAGAAG